ACTTTGTATAACAAAAGTTTTATTTTGAATGTGCAATAAACGATTGAAGAATGTGTTTCAGCCTAACTTTAGTGTAACGGAAAAAAAATTCACAAACTTTTTGGTACCCCCTGTAAATTTTTTTTTAGCCTTTTTCATTAAGTTGTTCAGAAAAGAAACATCATTTACAGTTACATGATCTAACTGTTCAATATACTGCTTGAATATATACCAACCGCTTTTTAACCTTCTTTATAAGTGATAATGGATCTTTCCTCTTCTTTTTCATCATCATCACTGCTTGGAATAGTTTCACCTTGCATTCCTTCCTCCATTAATATTAAGACTTTCTGTATAATTGTCTCATCAGTTGGTTCTTCCCAGAGTTGAATATTATTATTATCAATATTTACATATTCTTTTGCAGTCATTTCCATCTTTTCATCTTTCTCTTTTAATTGCTGGAGTAAATCAATCAACTGAGGCAATTAAACTATCATTATCCAATTCATCAAGCATCTGGTTTTCAGGCAGAATGCCTGGTTTTTTCCAACAATTATATATTAATATTGTCTGCTGATTAACATGTTTCCAGGCTTCACCAATCAAGTCAATAGCCTCCTTTATATTTACAGGTGTAGTTGTCCCACCATTATCAATTTCACCAATCCGTTTAGACACGAGCAATTTTCAATAATGCATTTTAAAGCTATAAATGATACTAATACCAGAATCACAAAGCTGGAAGTGAGATGTTGTGTTTGGTGGAAGATAGTGGACTTTTACACACCTTAAATGAAACTCTGCATTAACTACATGAGCTGGATAATTATCAGCAAGTAAAAGTGTTGGCTCTGTGCATATTGTTGGTCAAACCACTTTAACCAATCCTTCCACTTTCACCTGTCATCCAAGCCTTGGAATTGCTGGAATATTGAACTGGTAAAGTGATCAAATTAACATTTTTTAAGCATATTGGTCTTTTATTATTTACCAATAACAAGTGGTTTAAGTTTACAACTGCCTGTTGCTTTACATGCAAGTAAAACAGTTAGTCGCTGCTTATCTCTTTTACAGCCTTTGGCAGTATCATTTTTGGAAGCTAATGTCTTGTCTGGTCCAAGCCGGAAAAATAGACCTGTTTCATTAGCATTGTAAATATTCTCAAGTGAATACTGTTCTAATTGTCTACCATTTTCTATTACTGACATATTAACTGATAAATTTCCCCTGATGTTGTTTTTTGCACAATCCCAAAACGTTTTTGAAATATTCTCAGCCAACCATTGGCTGCTTCAAAATTTGCAGGTAAATCCACTCCAGCATTAACAAATTGTTGATGATACTCTTGTGCCTTTGTTCGAGTATATCTTGAGAAACCGGAATATTATTACTACGCACTATTGAAAACAATTTGTAAACGGCTTTTTCAACAATATCAAAATGACCGTTTTGCATTCGAGTACGCTTGCTAGCCCCTTTCTCCAGTTTGCTTAAAAGCATCGAGAACTTTTTGCTTATTTCGAATAATATCACTAACGGTTGAGCGATCAATATTGTAAATTCTCGGAACTTTTATTCACAACATTCTATGTAAATGTCAAACAAATAACACGTAAATAACGCGAAAATAACACGAAAATAACTAACTATTACGCTGCCTAACGTCCATCGCCTTACGAATAACACGTAAATAACTGCAGTCTTTTTTTAGCAATTAGGGTAACTTAGGGGATATAACGGGTTCGAATTATTATATTTGGTTATAAGAATTTTGGGATGGGATATATCTGAGGTGGGATATAACTGGCACAAAAAGGAACATTCGTTCTTAGAAGGCCATTTGTTTTTACAAAATTTGGGGATATAACCGGGAGTGGGATATGTTGTACCTCAGTTGGGGACCTGTCTCAGTTCTGGACTGAGACGACTGGGTTATGGACTGAGTGTCTGGGTTCTGGACTGAGACAACTGAATCCTGGACTGAGTGACTGGGTTCCAAACTGAGACAGGTCCCAAACTCAGACACAACAGATATAACCGGGGTACGAGTGTATTTATTGTTTATTTATTTTTAGTGACAAGATAATTAACCATAATATAGGATCAACCACGAATCAGCAAAGTTTGTCTTTGTCATTTCGATCTCGAAAAGATTTACGACAAACAATAATAATTCGTGCGCAAAATTTTTCAAAATCCACGTGGAACCATTTTTATCAACCCTTTCCATAAGCACTCTGGACGACAAACGCGATTTGTGGCCTCTTCATTTCAAAAAGAAAAGGCATAATAATAAGTGGCCTGTTCCTCACAGAATAACGTCCGATCGCAAGATCACATATATTCGCAAAACTAACGAGACGCAAAAACAACTCCGCGATACCCAAGCGGATGGTTCTGTTCATGCAGCCCCCCTTCACGTGGTACTCTCCTACTAAAGGTGTAGGTAAAATTGGCCAATACGGCATTGGACGAATTATTTGTCTATGCAAGCATATGTATAATCTTCTTTCTATAAAGGACAAGCTGGCTACCTCTAGTTCAAACCGCAAGAAAAAGGCCTTGCGACTTGATAAGGCAATCTTTCAGATGCGACAAAATCAAACACCTGCAAAATGAAGTACATAAAAAGAGTGTCGCACTTTTTACCCGCGAATTATCATTCCTCCTTTTGAGGTGTCGAATATGGTAAATCGAAAAACAAGAAAGATAACACGAAAACCCGTTCGTAAAAGGGCCCACTATCAATTTTGTCAACGTCTGGTGGCTAAAGCAGAAGAATTAGGTGTTCATGTTATTATCTAAAATGAGGCCTATACTTGCAGCTGGTGTGAGGGTTCGATATGTACAAGTGCCGGAATTGTGGGACTGTGATGAAAATGGCGCTCGGGAAATCTTCCTCCGGGCATTGCTTGATGGAGCCTTGATTCTCTCCGGAGATCATTGTGGGAAATAGTAGTAATGTCTACTATTACTATTGATATGTTACAATCATCCGCTATTATAACCCAATTCACCTAAACTCATTTTACCATCGCTAAGCTAATATTATAGTCAGCTGTCAATATTAATGGTCTCCTACTGTATGGAGCAGGAGTTGCTGTATTATTTCCTCAAACGAGCGAACAATAACCTACGTCCTTCAAAATTTACGCTAGAACTTTAAGGTAAATTTTTGCAGTTTGTAATGCAAGCTTGTCAGTATTTTTTTTCTCTCTTCATTTCTTTTCAGGAAATTTAACAACATTTTGTATGTTCTTTGGGGATTTCGAATAGATATAATTTGACGTTAATATTAGTTTTAATAATCTACAAATAGTATGCGTGGTAACTCGAATCTTGCGTTTTTTATTACAATAAAATAAGGCACCAAATGTGATGCTGCGAATTAATTTTTTCGTAGCAGTCCCTGATGCCCAATGAATAAGGATGCGAACTAACGCCACTACGACAAAGGCGCGACCACACGGCAACGCAGCCTCTGTATAGATTGTGTGAATTAGAAAAAGTGCCAAAAGATCTGTCGCATTTATTACGAACGGATGTATATTTGACTTAAGAGCGTAAGTTTTCTTTGTTCTACTTGCTATTACCAGTTGGGCCAGTTTAGCATACTTTTCCACTGCGAGTAACGTGAAAGCAAGTTTGTATATGCAATAAGCTAAGCAGTAAAAACGCTACAGGACCTCTCTGTCAAGCAAAAATGTCGCGTATCATTGCTCTCCTAGATATACCACCATGACATAAGTAAATTCACGGTTTTAATATAACATTGCAATTTTATAATTAAAAATACGTATATTGATAAACTGCCCGAGGACCACGTACTAGAAAATTATTCTCCGTTATAAAATTACAGGGAGGTCTTTTGTAACAGCTTTACAACTGAGCGATGCTTGCTGGTTTAAATAGACCATATTAATATCCTGCTCAAAGTTATATTTTGAACTCAAAATCTCATTTGTCAATTTTATGGCATGTGTTGTGAATCTAAAATAGCTGGCTTCTCGTGAGAAAGCTATTTACTATTACAATCTAATTTGCATGTGCGTACTTCGGTCATCTTATCAGATATAGCAGAATTTAAACAAATTCACCTGCGTCACATCAACATGTAAGGATAAAATTACAATATTGGCAATTTTGATCGAAATCTTGTTGGAAACGAATAATATTCTTTTAAAAATTCGGTTTGTTTACGACTTTACTTGTATATTAACATTTTAGGCACGGAGGCTTTGAATTACAGAATTTAATGTTAACATAGTAATAATAATAATAACAGTAAACATAGCTGTGTGACTTGAATAATCATCTGTCAATGCAAGCATGTATTATACACAAAGCGCAAGCAATCTATTACTAACGTGCGTGTGCTTTTATTAAGGGCTTCGATTCCCAGTCTATCATTAAATAAATATGACTATTGATCAACAATTATTGCCATAGCATTATTTGTTTGGCTTTTGAATTAGCTTCTGCCCGAATAAAACATTAGAAATATGCAATAATACATTGCTACAAATACAATATAATTACGATTACGACTACTCAAAACTTCACATTCTCCTGATATCATACTCTGTAGATTACAGCTGGCTGGCCAACACTGCAAACAACGTCATTCCCGTAATGAAAAGCTTCTTTACGCTAAACGTACGCCCAGTTGCCGAGCTAGATCCACCGTCAACTGAGGGTTCTGGAGTAGGAGTAGTTTCTTGAGTTGGAGAACCCGAACCATTAAGCACGTTTACAATATTGCAAAGGGATCCTAATTCTTTCGAGCTGGGAAGTTGAGCACTTAGAGCACTTTGGCCAGTGGCATCAAAGCACTGCTTGCACCCATCAACAGCACTCTGAGCTGGACATATGCACTTTTGTATTGCCAATACCAACTGCTTATAATCATCAGCTGAATAAGTTGTATTAGTGCCACCGCCCTGCAATGGCATACCTTTTGAACACTGTTCGAACGATGCATATTGAGTCTGACAGGCAGTACATCCAGGAACATTAGGATCAAACGTCGGTGTTGGTAAAGATGTTGGTACAGACGTTGGTACAGCTATTGGTACAGTTGTTGATGGTACAGTCGGATATGGGGTCGACATTTTGATAGCCTTCGTTATCGTTTTGTAGCAATTGTTATGTGTAATGCTTGACCAGTTAACCGAAAACCTTCCGGTGCACGTTAGAAACGAGTGAACAAGTGAATGGGAGTATGCAGTTGACAACAGAAACCCATCCGTTCTGCAAAGCTTGATTTATTATATATTCATAGTTGAAACTTGCAATGTATTTCATTACTAGAACTATTAAGATTTGGGTAACGATGTGGACGTCACTGATATGGAAAAATATACCGAGTAACACATGCAAAATGTGTATTTAAAAATAGACAAATAAAATCTATTAAGGAAATCCCCCAAAATCTACTCTTGGGGGGTGCCATTTCGGAATGGTAAAGCAGGAAAGGACCAACTCAATGAGGAAACTCGTGTTATATCGTGAGAAAAGTAACACATGACAGTCTCGTTAGAAAGAATTCGGAATAGTTATCTTTCTAGTATCAATGCGAGATCTTGTTTGTACCCAAACAATGACTGTCAGATATCAACGGGCAATATGGAGGAACTATTACAACATCTACTAAGAAGACACTTATCTATAGTGAACGTCCACATAAAGCACGCCCTTGGGAATATGTATAGGGCAAGCATTTTATTGTGTGCACGTGACCGAACAGACTGATGTTCAAATTTTGTTTTTATGTGGGAATATATACTCGGGGATGACCCTGTGCCTCTTTTCTGACCTCAAATGTAATAATAAAGTTTTTCACGGCAGTTACAAGTTCGATAGCACGGAATTATTTGCAAGAAAGTCAAATCTGTACCCCAAATCCTTGCCGATCAATAGTAATAAGCGACGCTACGGTTCTTTTTGTCCGTACTTACAAGTCATAAGCAGACATATCTGTATAATGAAGTAAGAAAGGTTTGCCGATGATTTTTATAACTTGCCAGAAATTAGATAAGGTCTACTCGTTGATTATTGGTCGTTTATATTTGGGGGATTAACTGTTTTTGCGAATGCGCCATTTTCATATATTTATTTGAAATCCGAAACTAACCAATGGGGTTCGAGAATAGAATCTGATCAACCAATGAAAGACAAGATCTGTCATTATAACAAACTATATATCGCTATGTTGTGCAAATCACATGAAAATCACGAAACTCAGTGGGAAACGAAAAAACCGTGCATCAATCCCTAATTCCCGAGCATCAGGAATGAGGGGAGTTCATTCATCCAGTTATCTGCTTAGCGAATATTGCATATAAAATTTCAACTCCCAGACTGATATCTCTTGCTCGTATGGACTAGATAACTGTAGTATTCCATGGAAAGAGGTATGTTGTATGACACGTGCTTTTTTATATGATAAATCAATAACGCATAGTTTCAGCCCTCGATTAACTGTTTGTCGCTTACAATCAGTTACGATTACTAGCATCAGTGTGTACGTGATCAACAAGAACTGCAACGAGGAAACTCCTTGCATAGAGCACTCATTGGCGACATATCGTTATTCGATTAAATGATTAAAACTCAGCATGAGATATCGTACCCAGAAGGAGAGTATCGGCAACACCACATCGACATCACGTATTATGTTTTGTGCCTCTATTAACTGATGATACTACCGTGCAATCGTACATATAACAGCAGTCTTTTCTTATTACTACTATACACATTCTGGATTCTTCTTCTTTTGCTTTGTATGTTTTTTGCACTTCGTCTTGCCATTAAGTAGCCCTCTTCGCCTTGCCGCGTAATCAATCTCTCTTATTTGCTATATAAACAATGAGAGCATCAGAGCTCGTATTCAATTCCCATGGTCTCTTAATCATAACGATATACGACTACCTCTATTCCATATCCGTGATCACCCCCTGCCCGCCTCGTGTATGACTCTGACCATACAGGTATATGGCCATAATCGTCTGTGAAGTACCGGCGATTATCTGCAAGAGATGATCCTAATGGTGGACGAAAACGTAATTCTGGCTGTATGTCTAATATAGTATATATAAATGCATGGCAAGTAAGCACAATTATATATACGCGTATCGAGATTAAAAAGCTATGTATAGTCGAATACTTGCTCTTGTCATATTTCCAAGATAACTTCTCGCCGTGAGTCATTAGACGGCATCGACCATACAACATTGAAGAGTCGGTATACTCTTCATAAGTATCATTCTGTTCCCAGCATTCTGGGCCATCACCTGCATCCTGCTCTTCAAACACGTCCTCAATGGGTGTAGATGTTTCTGTTTGTGATTGATCGCTTAATGGTTGATATATCGGTGAATAATTGTTTGTTGATTGGTCGGGGACAATTTTTCGATGTCTTTTCATCGAAAAGACTGTGTTTGGCGTTTCTGAGCCACAACTATTACTTCGAAAACATAGGCTTAGTTGGCTCGGGATCAAACAGATATCGTTCACAATTACTGTAGATAAATAATAGTGATATACACCTTTTACTAGGAAGAATTAGTTGAATACTTGCTGATTGGCATTCTTCATCGATCAATACGTATAATCGGTACGTGCAACTGACGATATAACCCAAACAGCCGAATATAACAAGCCATAGGACATCGATTAGTTTACAGTATATAAAACACTTGCTAATATATCCCGCACAAGTGAATGCCCAAGATAGAGAAACCATCAGCGATATAGACGAGCTCTTAGAGTGCGAAAAATAAGGATTTATAGTTTTGTCGAAAGTAGGGACAAACAGCTAACAGGTAAGAAGAAAAAAACTGGTGATTGTCGCTTTATTCAGCTGATCTTTCATGTCATTGGACAAAAATTGTAAAAACACGCGATACTAATACAGTCAAATCACATGATAAATCAACGCGAGTGAAAAAAGTGCACATGAATGATGTACATACAATAGACATAGTTATCGAATATATTGCTATATTATATCTAGAAAATAAATAAGTAACAACTTTTATAATAAAGGCAAAACGTTTCGCGCTACAAACGCACTTGTCTGTCAACAGAGTGAAGATGTCCACGGTCAACATGACTACGACTAGTTGAAGGTTGACTAAGGGGAGGTAGCAGATTTCTCCACGATGGATCAATCGTGGTAGCATCATAAGCAATCAGTGGTTTATCTTGAATAAAAGAATTACAAGAAAATGCAGATAATTGCCAAGAATCAGCAGCCCAATTACAAATATTACTGCTATTGCTGTTATCAATAAAAGCAGTATTGTTGAGAACAGGTGAAGATAATGAAGTAATAGAAGGGGATAATGGATAAGAATTATCGATAGAACCAGTGACAATATTATTATGTGCAACTGTATAATTAGTAGACGTAATATTGCTAACATTCGGTTGAGTTTCAGATAAGGTTGATGGACAAAGAGCATCGTCCGTTAATTCGTTTGTACTAAATATGTACACTGATTCAGCAATTATGGCTTTCTTCTTTGGTTGGTAAGTGTATCCAGGAAAAATATAGCTATGAAACTCCTTTGCACACTCAGCGATATAATTGTATAACAACCGTGTCTCCGAATCGATCTTTTCCCATCCCCTGCTTGCAATTTTGGATACAAATTCTAGCTGACTACCAACATCGTGACCTTTGACTTCATTGATCTTCTTTTGTAAATCGCGACGATATAAAATGTACATATTCTGTGGCCGAGGTGGACCAGTACGATGGCGTGATTTTCTTTGTCCTGGTCTGATGAGATCTCTTAAAGGTGTGTGAATTCGGCGTTCGATTTTTTTAAGAATGTCTGGAGGAATGCGCTGCGAAATTATAATGTCTAGCATCACGTCGGGAGACAGAGGATATTGAGCATCGGAGAAGTTGTAATTAGGAGGTTCGAGTTTTGATAGGGAGGGTTGAAAGGAATAAGCATCAGTGTTATATTTAATAGTAGGATTCATTGCAATGTGGGATTGGTTAGAGGAAGAGCAAATGGTTTATTGGCGAACAGTGTGGTGTTTATTTCTGGACCCCTTTGAGTTAGCATCTCGAAAATTGAGTGCAAAAGAGATGCTTTTATATTGTTTAGAAAATCTGTACCATATAAGTTGTACGTCCCAAACATCATATTGATACGCGGAACTAGGTTTTCAAATAATTCCGGGCCCGTGGGGCTTATTCTTTGCTTGGTTTTACGTTGAACAAAGAGTGAACACAAAAGTTTTATAAAAACTATTGTATTTAAACAGTGTTATTACATAATTGATAAGATTTTATAGTAAGCTCGACGTATAACATACTACATATATTATTTGTATTCGCGCGTGATCTTTTTTATTGGCAACTTGATGTCGGATTTCTATTATTATCAAGGTTAGAGAAAAACCTTAATGGCTAACTAATATTGTATATATCGTCCCATAATCTATCCCAAATTGTCACCAGCGACTCTCATAATAATGGTGATATTGTTCAGAGATTAGGCTGAAGGCAGGACAATCGAGTGAGTCTTGTTAACATTTTACTGGATAGACTACGACTCGGAACCACAGTTCCTTTATCCCGAATATTCCTAGCTTCGCCATAGTTTTTGGGGCAGCCTCAACATACAAATTTGTTGTTCCAGAGACAGAACAATGAGAGATGGCAATTATCTTTGTTATGTACTGTACAGCTGAAATTATAATGTGTACTATAAATAAATAATATTCATAATACTGTTATCCATCTCCTGTTTTCTTTATTCGTATAGAGAGTAACATGAGAAGAAGTGGACGATTGATTGAGTGAACAGTTAAAGTTCCGTACACCCCGAATCCCTGGTTGCAAATTTGTGTGTTCATCATATAATTGGTTGATATTACCTGATAACAAGAAATACGCGCTGCCCCAATAAACAATGACGACAATTAAAGATATCGATATAGATAAATATTAGAGTGAACAACAATAGTTATGCACACGCCTGCAAGTTACATATTAATTTATCTGTCCATTGTAATAGTAACATTGATCATTACTGCATTATGTACATGTTCTTTGTTCAGTGAATTTTTTGCTCTTGCACAATCAACCTACCGAAGAGCAGGAATACGGTATTAGTATCAAATTGTAAAGAGACACAGGTAATCAGAAAAGATTGATATCCATGCAGTGGGGGTAAAATGTAAGACGGCCATCCCGTATACTGGCACATCAGTTATTCAACAATTTCCCCAAGCTGCGATGAAAAAAAAGGTGGTATTCTACTATTAAGCAGCTCGCAAAAAGACGGAATGAGGCTTAGATGTCAACGTCTAATTACCAATTGACTTTACATGTACAATCAACCCTCTTTATAGTCACCCCCTCTATAAGCACATCGTATAAAAACCTCTTTATAAACACACCATGTTTGTTGAGAACCAATTACTATTGAACTTGTAGGAAAAACCCTCTATATAGTCAAACCTCTTTATAAGCACATTTTCAACAAAAGTTGCATTGTTCCCGACAGCGTATGCTCGGATCAGCCAATGGGAGCCGCACATTCAACGATAAGCGTGAGCTGTGTATTAGTATCCGCTTCAGAGATGACTTTAATAACTGTTTATATGACACCCCAATTCTAAACCAGCTAATGATAAGTGGAAACCAGTTTCACCATGGAACCTCTTTTGATTATGTGCTTTTGAACGTGCCATTCTGGAAAGAAAAAACTTTACTATCTGACAGCGACTTCCGCATTGTCAAGGGAGGAGGGATAAGAGGTGGGATAAAAGAGACTAGATTATTTTATAAACTGGCTGATTGATCGTTTGGCATTTAGTAACGTTCTCCTTGTTTAGGACAGGGGAAGTTGAAAGTCAATATTAAATTTGACGTAATAGTAATAGTAATAATCTATTGATCACGTGACACCACTCATATGGCAAAGAAGTCGCGCTGTAACGAGAATATAATCATGGAAAACCACGTCTTCAACATACAAGAGACTGTCGCTTTCCCTATTGCTAGAGTTAAGCGCATTATTAAACAAGACGAGGATGTAAAAGCTTGTGCTGCTGACGCGACGCTTCTCATCGCTGCTGCCGCGGTAATTGACATATATACATTTAACTAGGAGATATTGGTTTGCATTCTATTCATTCATATTAGTTCTATTACTTTGTGATAGGAACTATTCGTGGAATTCGTTGTTAAGCAAAGCCTACAAGAAGCGCGTAACGACAAACGCAAAACGGTCGCCTTCCGAGATATATGTGAGTTGGCGATAAGTTCAGAATCTCGTCTCCAAGAATTTTTACTAATGATTTATCTGTTTGTTATGTAGCGGGCGCCATAGAATCAACCGACAACCTTCAATTTTTAGACGGTACTTTAAACATGAATTATTTGACACCCGCGATCAGTATATGCTCAATTTTATATCTTACATTCTAGAGTTGATTTCGCTGCTTCGCGATCGAATAGCATTGTATGACACCTCAAAACGTAAACCGAAGTTGACAAAGACGACAGAATCATCTATGGGAAGCACAGCAGCGACAACGGATATTTTCAATAACAATGAGGATCTACAAATTGAAATAAACACAGATAAAGACGAGATAAACACCGATGAGGACGAAATAAGTGCTGATGAGAATGAAATAAACGCTGACGAAGACGAAGGCAACGAGGGCTTAGACGTTACCACGTCTGATACAGACGAAGATATGATTTCCGAAGAATTAAACACCGAGATGAACATAGAGCACGCTGGCGAGTCTAATGTGAATTACCACTCTGCAGAGGACGAACGATGACATAACGGTTTTGACGCGCAACCATTATTATTCGTTCCTATATGATGTTAACCTGCATGTAGGTTTGGTGACGGCCTACCAAAATTCTAACCAAGAGATTAATCTGTTGGACGTGAATTACATAATAATATCTGCGTATAGTCGTCAATAAATCATGGAGTTGACATAAAAATCTTCATTAATGTATAGCCAATGTCCATTCCTACATATTATTTAGAAAGACTGTTTTTATTCAATCTTTGGCAAATACGGAGTCATTCCTCAGTACCAGATCGTCTGTCCTACTATAATATTACTTAAAATACACTTTACAGAAAATACAGGTTTCGCGAATGAGTCTCCAATGAAACACAACCGACGTCAAACGCATAATACTTGCGTACCTGCCCAATGCTTCGAACCACGCCACGATTGATGTATCCGTCTGTACATAATCTCTAAACTCTTCCCAGTCAATATAGTTATCGCCTTTCGTGTTTATGCTCTCAAACACCTTCTCAACAAGTTCTTCAATAGCTTCTGAGCTTAAACATTCATTGACAGGCACTCTTGGCTCCCATTCGATCGATGGCAAGTCCTCCAGGCTAGCAGTCTTTACTGCAGTATAATGTGCATTACTATCAGGTGGTACGGCAGCATTGAAAGCAGCTGCTACAGGCTGTGCAGGAGAGGATTCGTACGATTCCATTAATTCTTCCTCCATAGCCTTAACAACATCGCGCACAAGCTCAGTCGATAGATGAAAATATGCCTTGAAAATTTTCTGAAGCTCTTCCTTCGAAATCTTGCCATCGTCATCAAGATCATAGCCTTTGAACGCGCCTGAAATATCAATCCAATATCTTAGTATGCAGGAATATTGCAACGAAACTTAAACAATTTTGTAAACCTTACATCTCATTTTCTCTTCGAGATTTCCTTTGCATAAAATGGATAGACCACATACTAGTTCACTAAAGTTAATAATGCCATCTCCGTCTTGATCAAAAAACTTAAAAATTCTGTCAGTAATAAGGTTTTTCTCAAGACCCAAAGGTCCAAGACATTGGTCAAAAGTCTTCCTATCAATCCCGCCACCATCTCTGGGAACTGTTGCAATCGACCTAAATTGCTCGTAAAGTGCCTCCAGTTCCACCTGGTCGACTAACATATGAAAAGCTCTATCAGAATAAAATTTGATTACGTGAAGTAAAAAAAAAACAATAACAGAATACGTCGCTTACAGTGAGTCTTTCTCTGTAGCTCGCGCAATTTATCACGACTCAACGCGGGCAGATCGAGTGGAAGACCTGCAGACCAACACGCTTTTAGATAAACTGGCCACAGGAAGAAAACCAATCAAGGCTAAGACCAAAGAACAACCTGGATAGAACACGTTCAGCAAAGCCGATCGAGGGTTTGCCAGAGGTGCAATTGGGATCTTGATCTTTAAGAACGTATGCGTCCTTAAATGTACCTGATGAGCCTCGCAGCTCTCACAAAGGTCGTAATCGGCACAATTCGCACATTTATAGCGAATACCTCTAATTGGTGACTACCACGAAGCTGGATATTAGAACAAGAGCTTTCCTTTATCAACAGGTAAATACTAAATGATCTTACAGCTCGGCAATGGCTACAAATTATCCCCCCTGGCAAAGAAATGTTAGCGATCGCAAAATAGAATGTGTATCATAGACTGTGAATAACTTACTGTGTACATAGCCTTCTATCATATGATTCAATAGCGTTAGTAATATGTACAAAACATAATATAACACGTTATCAATGCATACCTTTTCGTGCCTGATCATCGGCAATGGAGTTAAGTAAATGAAGCAAGTTTTGCGCTTCCGGAGCATCAGTGTCGAAAGGATTCTCAACACCTTGCTGTGAGTTCGATGATCCTCTTTGGGAATTAGCACTCGCTTGCTGGTGACTTGAACGAGTACCAGACGGACGGCGAACTGAATAAAGAGTGTAAAGAAGACCAAGGCCACTAAGCACGCCACCTACTAAGAAAGCTCCATTGGAAAGAGGTGTACCCATACTTGTGTAAATAATTGTTTGTTCAGGTTGGCATACTGCAACGAAGTGAATGAAGAGTTATCCCGAATTTTTTTCAATATTATTATTATTATTATTAAGCGCGATGTGTAACATATTTTATGTATCTACGATCGCCCTCTTCAACCTCATTGTGAATAAAAAGTTTCTGGCTGTATAACAAGTCTGTAGCGCTTGATGTACAATTATTAGACTTTTGAGCGCACTCTTATGTAATCATCAGGAGGATGTACCATTACCATATTAAAAGCAGCTAATAGCAATAAAAAATCGAGTTTATGGCTTCAATGTCGATTCACTTGGAGCTAATTATGAACACGACTGTGTATTTCATATTTTTAACGTGAGAGGAATCAGACATGTATGTGATAATAGACATTCCACAACTATTTATCTACTTATTATCTTGTCGTTGACAGCAAATCCTTTCTAACAAGCAATACAAATAAAGGCGAGCCTTTGTCCGCTAGATTATCAATTGCGCGTCTTTTATCGCATCAAGTGACTGCTGCGGACACTAATTATTTATTTTGTCCCGTCGATTAGTTCCCGCGGATATTTAAGGTAAAATAGAAATACGGCCCCGTGAATATTAGAGAAGAAAGTAATGTCGAAAGCTACACACAGTACATTATAAATACTATAAATACAAAATAGCAGAACTAATGCTAAAGCTTCTGCATCTAATTTTTTCCATCCCTAATAATGTATATTTTCTCGGAAATTTTTATTTCTTATTGCTCTTTATCTTTGTACCTTACTTATTCTTAACTGCTGCATTCTTTATTATTATCGATTTACAAAGGGTTTTCCAATCATGTACTAATACTAGTTGTATAAAACAGCTTTTGCAGTTGTCCGTAGAGACATTACCTTATAAAACCAGCATTGGAAATAAATTATAACTCCCTTCCCTCCGTTTCATAAAATTATGTTCAATAAATAATTTTATTAATACGGTTCCGCGTTTGTGAAGTTCATCCCAAATTTATAACCCTATTTTTGATACAGCTCTTTCTTTACCCTTCTCCAGATTTTTATTGACTGATCAAAGGTCCATTGTAAGATTTCTTTCCATCGGTCGAAGTACTGTATAAATAATATTGTAAGATGCAGGTATTTTAGATCTGTGAGTTTATTTAACATTTTCCCTGATCAATTTCTGTCTCATTGCCTCTGCCTCAAATCTATCTGATTGCTCTACCTACTACTACTATATTAACTACCACGGTTTTCCTTTTTCAAACATGTAATTACTTGCCTACTACTATCCTCACTCCTGCCACTTAATAATGTATTAATTAACCCCCTTTTTTTCAATCTTATTACTTTTTGTAACTCCTTGTTAATTTATTCTCATTTTTGTTCTGGACAAATGCCTTCCTATTACTACTACTTCTCATGTCCCTTGTCGGGGGAGTTTCGATTGGTTTCGCAAGCTACATTAATAATAGATTTACGGAATAGTAATAGGATTAATTAAACATACTACATACGTAAAGGTCCACTTGCCATTTTTTTATCATCTTTTCTTCTGAAAAAAAAAAAGCATTATTGGATAGAGTAACAATTTGCTTACCATATTAAAAGATACTTCATTTTATTTAAATTGCAAACAAACTATGTTTCAAAAATGGACTTGTTCAATTTTCACAATTAAATACATTAAAAATAACGTACATTCTAATATCAAGTGTAATGCAGCTATCCGTAACTTTAGTTCTAACACGTTAACCATATGCTATATATATAGAATCAGTATGTTAAGATTCCTGTAACATGATATAACTAATAACGTGTTTCTGAAACAGCCTCTTTTGCAAAATCTCAGAGAGCAAAATAAATAAACCAATAATAAAGTAAAACGCAAATTTATTTGCCATTTTAATTAATAATAAACTCTTTTTTGAACACACGGCAATAGTCTTATACTTTACTTTACTACACTAATGTCAATATTAATGGGAGTTTGTCGTCTTTCGTAAATAGAAATAGCCGCAAACATTTGTATAATCCAATTATTTTTGTATTATTATTATGCACAAATCGATAAGACATATTTTACAGCAGTTTACAAATTAACTCTCAGTTACACTTCAACGTTCAGTGTACTACTATTCCGCTTCCCAAAATTTACGACAAACTGTTCCAGAAGCTTCCAACTACTAGCACTATTCTGTATAATGTTTGGAATTATACCACACTGATCTATAGACACGTCATCATTATCAAATTCAATATTAATGTTGTTACGCACTTTAACATCTTTTTCTCGTTCCTTTTTTTCCCGACTGCGTTTATCACAAGTGCTTGAATCCTCTTCAATTGTCTCATCTGCATCTTCCGAATATGAAATGTCTCGGTTTGCCATTGTCTCACACTGTTTTCCTCTCCCTCCCTCGTCCGTTTCTTCTATTACTTTGATATTTAACACTTTATCCGTGCACTGATACAGATTCTCCGCTGTAAACGAATCCTCGCCATCTGACATCATGGATTCAGACATACACCGAGAACCAAAGATATTTTTAAGACGAGAAGTAATTGGTTGGAGGGAGATGAAATTTCGTGTTACGCCGTAGATCACCGAATTTGCGAAGCCTGCAGATGTGAAGATACAAGCTGCAGAAATTAGACTGAAAGACAATTAGGAAATACAACGTAAGTTAACAAAGTATGATTAGAAATGTAAACCAAAACGAAAACCACATTATCCAATATAAGAAAATGCTTACTATCCGAATGGCCATTCTGCACCGCCAAGTGTTACAAGTCGTTCTGGTACATAAAACATTTGAATACGTAAGTAAGAATGCTAGGTTCATCCATCCGCAACGTTTCTCCCCGTCTAATGACATTCTGAGATTTTCTAAACTTACGCAAAGCCAAAGGAAAGACTAATAGAATATATACAATAGGGTACCACACCAATTTGTTTGCAACGTTCTTTAACCTCAGTGGTGCGTTCTGTCTTCCGATTGCTTGTGACAACGCCCTTCGTCTCCAGAACAAGCTTGCATATATTATTGCATATAAAACAAACATCAATGCTGCCACACAGAGTATAATGCCATAATGGAATGTGATCCTGTATGTCGAATAATTTGCTGAGATCCAACACCATGCGCCACCAGCACTATTGTAGAATGGCTTGGAAGAAGTGGAAATGAATAGACCGGCAGTTGCGAGGAAGATATTGCAAGGCCAGATTATGATCATGCTGATGATGGCAAATTTGGAATAGTCAAGGTTGGCGACGACATATATGAAAGTTTGAACACATATTGCTAGTGCCCAGAAACCTGTATTGAAAGTTTTTGTTAGAGTTCAGTTTCATACGAAAGAGAAAGCGCACACACATCTAGCTATCCAATCTACTATCCCGCAATTTACATACCAGAAGCAACATCACCAATGTTGATGATGATGCCCTGAAAGCTGCACAGTGCGCCTGGTACTATTTTTCCGATAGATATCCAGTGAAAACTCAACATAAATCCAATGCTTTGTAGAAAATCAGCCATCAGCAAATTTAGTACTAGAGGTGTGATCGTGGTCCTCTTGTATTCGTATCTATGGAAATATATCCATGTGAACGTCGATACGCATGCGATGTTACTTAACGTACTGAATGATACTACAGCGATCATTCCGGCAACGTAGTCTGATGTATGAGGAGACGAGTCTAGAGTAGGTGATGGACTGATGATTTGTGATGTTGATGTCATAATGGTGTTATGTACAAGATAAATGATACGTGCTGTATTATAATGTGTATGAATGTCTATTAATGAGCTATCTACGAAGTTGAGCTTATATGTGTAGTGAATCAGTCTATGCAAGTATTTTTGGTCTACTTCTATCTTTAGCGTGGGGGGTGGGAGAAGGAGTGTATATGGTTTGTTCCTCGTATCTGCTTTTGTATGAAGGCTGTTGATACATATAATAAACTTTTTACAATTGTGTCGTTAGATTGAGTGCGAGATAAATCGATGGCAACGTACAGTCGGACTGGAGAAATAAATATGATATTTATGAGATTGGACTGTATCCCCGAGTGTCACTATTGAACTTCTACAAATGCACGTTTGTGGTAATCACAAAGCACATCCACGCTATCTTTTTTTGGCCGAACTCCCAGCCATTGTTTTAATAATCTTATGTTGCTAAGGGTTCATCCGAAACGATGATCAATTCTATTCCGTAAAGCAAACTCTGTTTTTGTGGATCTTAGCACTTCAACGGGACTCGTATTGAAAATGGGCAGGGACTATTATAATTAGCTATCAGCTAATAATACTCGGTTGAATTATACGCGAATATCATATATGCGCTGAATATGATAGCTGGCCATGATGAGCAAGTATATGATATAAAAGAGTGTTGCCTTCTATCTATACGAGAGGACATGATAAACAAATAAGCGTGATTTAATATAATTGTTTGTTTGGTTATTTGATTATGTTTAAGTTTTTCTGTTTATTAAAGAGGACGGGTTTACGTCCCTTATCGAGATCGTCACTCGTGTACTGCCATCCCGGTTTTATGATTAAATTAGTACTAGGGTAAGGTGACTGCTGGTTTATGTGATGTTTCAATACGTCATTATATGTTATGACAAATACTCATTCGTTCACAACTGTCCGTTTAATTCGAAATTAGCCTTATCCGTAACCAACACATTCTCACGCCAACAGCAATAAAAACTATAATTCTAAACCGATTACAGCCCTTTCCTCGACATCCGTTCGAAACCATACAGTCCAATATCCACATATATTCAACTTTATTGATATGAGCAATACCCACGAGGACGTTCTGAAAGACACCACTCATCCACCCATCGTTCAACACAGAGATCCTCCAAACTCGGAAACAGGCACATGTACAGAGAAACAAATACAAGCAGACAACATTAAAATCAAAGAATATGAGAAACCATCCTATATACATGGCGCAAAAGATGCACTTACTGGTACAGTCAAGGTGATTAAACTCGCAAAAAGATAATGGAAGCAGATGGTCAATGTGCACAATAAGAGTTAGATTATACAACATCTTCTGGCCCCATTACCATCCGCTGACTTAGATAAGAAGACTAAACACCTGCAATCGATGTTTCTCTCTTGATTCATCAGGCAACCATTTTACCTAATAAATGGATATCGATTAATACTAAAACATTGTCCTCTGATCCAGGAGAATGTTGCCAGATTAACTGGTAATGAGGAAACGAAACAGTCTGGTCATCAGCAGAAACAAAAAGGATTGGAAGAAATTGAAAATTCGGTAAAGGAGGATGAATTTGATGATGCCGTGTATAATTCCTTGTCATATGGGACATGAACAATATGTGATAACTCTAGTTTTTATAAGTAAAAGTGGCGTGTGTTCGATGATTGTTGCAAAGGTTAACTAAAAAGTACAAATATAAACACCAATTGATAAGAAGTCCGCTGAATAGGAATTTATTTATCAGGACTTGTTCCTGTGTATCGGTCAACGGTACTGATTGATAATTCCCTTGAACTGGTTCGTAAAGTTCAAGTTATAAACTGGTATTTGTGGCTGATTTTCCGAAAAGTGCCCGACTTTTCCCGTTGAGTAACGATTTTTCGTAACGGGATTACTATTAACGGAGTTGGGGGCAATGTGAATTGTGAACATGTTGATGGTGTACATAGTTTGTACGCCCTATAACGTAATATTACCGCAGAAGAAATACTCTTTTTTTTTTCCCCCTCTACAATGTCGGATGGATTGTAACATATCCATCAAGCAATGCCCGGAGGAAGATTCCCCGAGCGCACAGTTCCACAATTCCGGCACTTGTACATATCGATATAGTGGGCCCAACAGAGCATTTTACGAACGGTTTTTTGTGTTATCTTTCTTGTTTTTCGATTTACCATATTCCGATACCTCAAAAGGAGGAATGATAATGGTATCAAATTCGCGAGTAAAAAATGCGACACTCTTTTTATGAACGTCATTTTGCAGGTGTTTGATTTTTCTGCAAGGCCTTTTTCTTCTTACGTTTTGAACTAGAGGAACGCCAGAGTCAATGGAAACTGCATGAACAGAACTATTCGCAGAGTTGTTTTTGCGTCTCGTAAACCCATGAAAATTTCCATTCATTAGTTTTGCGGATATGTGATCTTGCAATCTTGTGAGGAACAGGCCACTTATTATTATGCCTTTTTTTTCGAAATAAAGAGGCCACAAATCGCGTTTGTCGTCCAGAGTGATAACAGGCTTATGACGGATGCGGAAAGCATTGATGGAGATGGGTGATATAAAAACGGTTTCCACGTGGATTTTGCGCACAAATTATTAAATCTTTTCGAGATCGAAACGACAAAGACGAACTTTGCTGATTCCGTGGTTGGTCCTAAAATTAGTTAAATAAATAAACCAAAATAATAACAAGCAGTTAATGCTTCATTGATAATGTTTGCCATGTGTACCTTGAAGCAGCACGAATTTGCATTCACCCCATACGCATGATTTTTGAAGTCTCTTGTCCTCATGCTCATTACCGTCTTTTCTTACATGTAAAGCTTAAGCTTATCTTCAATAGGTTGAGATTTTATCCAAACCCGTCGTGATGTGAATCTTTGGTATAGAAACGGCGGTATCGACAGCTGCGTTATAAGCATATCTCGACAAGCCCGTCCAACGTTTCAATAGTTGCTTTTGAAGGTGAATTGGATATACTTTGATTAGTAGCGTACAATGGAGAGCTTCCAAGTGTTGTCGTTTGTTGCATGCTGCTGTTGCGCTTTTTTCCTTGTTTGGGGCGACTCTTCTTCCGTGCTTGATTGCAAAGGTTAACATTGAGGAGAGAGTTTATGTGTTTACGATTTTGAATAATTTGCTTATTTTCAATAAGCGAAAAATTGCAATGGTTAAAGGATTATGTCTTTAAATATGTTTATGGTTGTCGGTATTTGAATGGGGAACCGAAAACGCGCATGAAACATACAATAGCCTGTGTTGCATTGAATGGAGCTATTGTCTACGAAAACGGTTCTGAAGCTTTGACTACGAGCATACAACTCTCTCGGCAAATCCGTCCAAGTGAGGAAATGATTACGTCGACCATAAAGGCTCCAAAGATACAGTGCGCGAAAAAAGTTTTTGGAATAAAATGCATAAACTTTATTTTCTTCCAAAATACGCGTCTAATCAAAACAGCCAACTAATCCGTTTTGTGCGTTCTATTCCTATGTATGTAACACCGACAAAAAACTCGGTCATTTGTTTTATTTGTTAAACTTTCGTTTTGGATACAATCGAGAGAAAAAAACCAAACAAAGCTTATTATTATGGTGCCACCTGTTTATGTAGTCGAGACATCAACCATTATTCCTTCGTGAACTACATTTGTTATCAATTTTTTGATGCTAGGTTTTTACCATCCAGACCATCGTCCTATAAAATGAGTTAAGTTAACTTTCCATTGTTTCTGCGGCTGTAACAAGGAGGTTCAATATGGGTAAAATAAGAGAACAAACAGGTTGCATGAAACACAGTAATTGAAGTCAATCAGCTCGAGAAGCAACACGTCTCCTTTACTTGTGATTGTTTACCTGTCTCGTCGAATATGTTGCGGTTTGCTTTTGATAAAAATGGTTATTACTTTCTCATTCATTGTTTGAGCAGTTCGTTCGCAAACTTGTAGTTCCCAACCCACCGATTCCAAACAGGTTTGGCGAACGCCGCATCTGCAATCTCAATGATGTAATAAGGTACAAATAGTCTTGTCTTATACCCGTTTTAGAAAAATTAACTCATCAAACGTCGCCATCCCGAGGCGCCTGCTGGCATAATAATAAGTAGAACGTGGAATAATTGTAAAACCAAATAACATATTTGTTAAAAACTCATACTGTGTCTAGACTTATGTACATGAAGAGTATTAGTAGACCCATTGACATACTTACTTTACGTATTAAAACTGAAGATTTGGAAACAATTAATTTTGTACATTTTATGATGAAATACTAATTCTAATCTCTCGACACAAGTCTACAACGACTTTTTAATTATTTCCTGTACTTCCAAGTTTTAATCTATTAATTAATGCGTTACGGATTTCTAGTATCAAAAATACCTGTGTATAAAATGTTGGAAGTAAACGGCTACACGCGTATCATTCATTGTGATACCAACATTTATATGAAAGGGACATTATAACGTATTAGTCAACAAAATCCCTGTCAAGTTGGTATGCGTCTACCTTATAACTATTTCCGGGTAAACAGAGCAGTTGTCTAATTAAAGAACATTACCTTTATATATTATCTTTTATTAGCACGACATTGAAAATTATCGGACGAACAATGTCAATGGACAAGTTCTGGGTTATTTTTAGAATTGCTTATAAAGACATTGTATTAGAATAAGAGACAAATATATATTAGTTTTATTCTTGTTCTATATAATTGGCATTTCTTCCGTGACGGCGACTGACAACAATGCGGCTCAACACTTTTATAAGACCTTCGTTTTTTAAAGTTTGGTGGTCGAAACTAACTGACACGATAATATAGTTGTGAATTATATATACATTCGCAAAAAAAATTTTGATAGCTTAACTGAACTTCTTACTATTACCAAGACTCTGATTCTATATTATACTTTGTTTGCAAACTTCTGCCAGTAATTTTCGTCTTAATAATAATTCTTGTCTCACGTGATTAAAACAAACAAAGTATCTTTATCAGCGGTTTCTTTGTGCATATTACATATTACAACCATCAATCATTTACTACTTGGACCTTATTTATTAATAATAAAGAATCCAACGGAACTCAGTAGGACAGTTCATAGTTAATGACAATGTAGCTTTTTTTTCCTTAAAAAAACATATAAACTACGTGTATGAAATCCATCAGTAATAGCAACAATCGAAAGACATGGCATTGCCTGATTACTCATTGCCTGATTACTTACATCACATCATCATACAAGATTTTAACCAAATCATATATTAACAATAAACCATAAAAAAAACCCTATTAAACCTTAACATAAAAAAACTATTACGCATATAACTGAAATAAGCCTGCATTCTTTGCGCTTGATGGGTAAAACGATATACACTACGTGGAGTAAAATCCTGGCTAAATAAATATATAATCAATCGACGTTTTTTGCTCATCAAGCACAATTACTACTTTATGTTGTATCGACCAGATTGAGTATTAATCCGGTTTGAAACCTATGGTATCGGACAAGTTATTAGAGGACAGTAGACGAAAATCATGATGCAAACTCTAAGTTTTTGACAAACTGGTTTACCTCTTGAATAGTTGTTGATGGGGGAACCTGAGATTCAAGAAGTTGCGAAATTGAGATAACGGAAACATGAGTGTTTCGGATGTGCTGATGGTTGTATGATTCGGTTGACGGGGAAGGCACACGAGCAAGGTGGATAGACGGGACTAACTGAGGATTTCTAGTATGTTCCAGTTCATGAGCGGTCCCGACGCTTTGGTTATTACTTTCGTTATCGCTTCCCGAATCATTACGAGTATACATTTTTATTCCCTTTTTTTTTAAGTATTGACACAAACCAGAGCGTCCTGGTTTAGAGTAAAAAGTTGAATCGGAAAGAAAATGGTTATAAGTAATTATGCAAACAAGTATAATAAATATGTATTTCACTGCTTATGTTAACAAATCAAAGGTTATTCTTGTAATTTCTTACTTGGTACTCCAGGAAAATTCTTTGCAGTAGACACTTCGAATATTTCTGTAAATAAATTGCAAATTATGGGAGTAGAGTTTATGGTAGTATTGATCCGATGCCCACTTCATCCGATAGATTGGTTCAAACCCCAGCAAAAGAAAAATTTGAATCACATTACGCAATTACCGAGAACGCAGTTAGTATGACAGATCTAAACTGTTGTTGCACATGAGGTCTTAACACATGCGTGTCAGATAATTTCGGCCAATATGCTGGTATCTAACCAAACTTGGTCAATTAAACAACACTAAGACCTTACGTACAACAGATTCAAAAGTTCTAAATTGATTAAAGACAATAAATATAATTGCCCATTTATATACTCACTTACTGATACAAAACAAACTAAATTGGAAGGAGTACCTTCCTTCAGTACGAACGCTCAAATCCGCAAACACGAAATACACTGTCATCCTTTCTGCATCTTCAAAATCTTCGACTAGATGCCCACTCGCTGTTGTGTTACCGACAAGAGTAAAGCCTTGATGTTCTTGGCCAGCGTACGTATAATTGACTAGATTAGCTTCCGTGTGGTCTTGTTTAAAAATATCACATTTTACTATCATTCCGTTGGTAAAATGATCCCTGTCCGGATAAATTAAGGACAATGAATTAGATATGTATGAACAATCGACGAATGATCCCAACATTTTGAAATTATGTGGAAAATACAAATAAGCATTGTTATATAGTCATTATGCTGTATAAATTCTCACCTAACATCGAGTACACGACGATTATTCTTCCTATTTAGAACAACAAGTTGTAAAATTGGAATAGGGGCAACTATTCGGCGGTCCTAATTCCGTTTACGTTAATAATTAGTCGAATCATCCACCAATTTTCATAATTGATCCGCATTTAATTTACCTTCTCGCCGAACCCACATCGGCGGGCACATTTGGGTTGCTCAAGGATCTTTAGACTATATTCGAATTCATCTCTATCGACATCATTAATACATAATTGTTGCAATTAGTATATAAGCACGCTTTTGTCTAAACTATACATGTTAACGATTATATTTGTATCGATTGATTCAACAACAAATAACCCCGTTCTCGCACTCCTACGTTTAATGAATACTTATCCACCCAACCATAATCAACGCTTTTGATTTGTTACTACTAATATTTACTTCGTTCTCTCTACCTTTCTCACCTGCAGTTTAATGGATCAACCAATGTTGCGTATGTTTCCTGGTCAGCGTAATGGCTTCGTTTGAATCTGGTGGTTCGACGAACATTCACGTCAGCTCTACCTGGATTTGCTTGTGAATTTCTCATATATGTATGTATGGCTTCTATACTTCTTCTATCGTGTCCAGTATTTGACACCATTTGAGTTGTAGATAAAGGATTGTCTATGTTTTGATTCATCGGAGTATTTGTGCGGCTGCGGCGAGTGGGTAGTCAAGAAGGTGAGTGGGAGGCAAGTAGGGAGTGAAGTTAAGGTGGGAGTGTACGAAGCAAGCTTTAATTAAAAGGGTGAAAGTATAATGAAGGTCCAGAATATGGCTAACGCACAGCACGCCGCCTTTTTAGATATGAAGAAAGATGGTTTTATTTTGTTGGTTATTAAATATTAATCAGTGTATATGCTATGTAATACGTGGATTGTGTGGGCTGAACACAAGTGTAAATAATAATCTGAAAGCAAAGTTGTACCCTGACTGTCAGTTACGATAGTGTAATATGGCCAAGCATGCAGTGTATTTTATTGCAAAAGGACTATAGCTTGTCCCTCGTAAATTAAGAAGAACCGTGCAAAAAAAAAAAAAAAAAAGGGTGGGTTGCTATACCTGTATCTATTTCTCTAACTATATTAATGGCAGTAATGGTATCATTAACTGCTTATTATAGAATTATCAATATCTGATAAGATTTGTTAAAATTTAGCGGCAGCTGTTAATACCCGAATAATGCTAAGCCGATTTATTTTTATATGCGCAGAATCATTGTAGACCAATTTGGCCGTTTAACCAATTGCATACAAGTCGTATATTATTATCGCGCATATCGGTTAACGTATATATATCTCGTAATTGTTTAGTTACCATATTATACATCGAATGGATGTCAATGTGGCTGTGATTTTTATCTAAAAGTATATTTATATGTCATTATATATATTTATTTTATTGTTTGTCAACTTGGAAAAAAAGTACCGATATGCGATAACCAATAGAAATTCGCCAATAGTTTCAATTAAGTAATGGTATGAATATTACATAGCCCATTTGACTAATTAGTTTATCGACAACAATTAAAGTTACAATATTATAATATATGTGGCGCATTGCTATTTAACCGCTACGGAAAATAGAAATAAACAAGGGGCTTCTAGGTGTAGACTAATAACGAATCGTATTATCAATGCAATTACACACATATGCACTTACGTATGATATGTTTATATACATATTGGCGTCTATGCGTATGTTTGTGGCTCATGACACGCTTAAACTCTATACTCAAATAGTAATTTTTGAACAAGCTCCAAGTACTCAGGCCATTTTTAGACACGGGCAACCGGATGTATATAAAACATTATTCCAAATTAGGAGAACCGAAATCATTAAGCGCGGACAACAAACGATTGCATTTGTAATTTACATTTTACATCATTGCTATTGCTCAATGCTTATCCATTTAGCATCAAACTAGGAGCACAGGACTCAACCGAGGACAAAACACAAGCAGCCCAACCAACCATTTAGACCGGGATCAACCGTTACAATACCTCGGCGATAATGTGTTTACTGCCTGTGTCAAATAGAACTAACAGAACATTCTAAAGGTGGAGTTGCATGTATGTTTGGCAATCACTAGCGAGGCTTGTTTGTAAAGGCAAATGGGTACGAAAGTTATTTTTAATTGATTATAAAAGAACTGTAAACAATAATGTAAAATATTATGTATGGGGGATATAAACAAGCCATGTCACTAAATGATAGGAACAGTTTTTGTATAATACTATACCCATTTTTATTATATATTGTATTGCAATTGTATCGAATTATACCACATTGGATTATTGCACCGCATAATTGGTAGTTTAGTTATAGGTTTATAATTGCCATATTAGTTACAGTAAAAATATTCCTCTTTTGCATTAATGGTATTTAATATAACCAATTTAATAAATCGTGGCAATTGTAATGCGTCCAATTATAATCTGACAATAGTCAATGAAAAGACGTAGTTGCATGTAAACCATTCATTTGTGACTGGTTTCTTTTAAATATTTTATCTTGTGGTAACCCCACAATTAACAACCACACACACATACTGCCTATTACCAGCAATCAATGCAGAATATTTCGAAAAGCGGGAAATATACATTACAACAAAGTATTACACGACATCGAATATGTAAACCCATCCACATAGTATGTTGGTTACATTCGATATGTCACATTTAATTACGTTTACAATACTCGCACTATATGCTGTCTTTCTTTTTCTTCTTCTTTTTTTTTCTTCGCTAACGGCTACTCGTTTCTTGAATCTCTTTTGCTCTAGTCAAGATATCTGGGTGCTTCTACAGTGACGCACCTGGCATTTGGATTCACAAATGTCACACTTAATATCACTATACGAGATCGACCAATGACGATAAGGAATCAAGTCCTTGTCTCAAGACAAGGCGACAGAAGATAAGGTGCCAATTGGACCATAACATTAACACCTCCAGAGTATGATGGAAAAATCTAATGGGTGATTATAAACGGGTGTCTTTGTCATACGTATCCGTGATGTATGATATTCTTAGCACATACCAACAATGGAAAAGCAAAAGTGATAATCATGGAGTTGGATATCCGTACTATAAAGACAGGTTAGATGTATGTTTCGGCTTTTGGATTTTGCATTTGTTATTCTTTATTCAAACACAACGCTCAAAATGTCCTTGTTATACTTATTTATATCTCGTAGTCCGACGTTTCTCTCCAGGAAGTCGGACTAAACGTTAGAAGCTCACACGGAAGGTCACACTCAATCCCCCGAAAAGCCGGGTTGTGTTACATTTAAGTATAAGTATACAGGGCATGAGTCAAAGAGATAATAGTTAATCGTCGTAAAGGTAGGAATAAACGCAGACTAGATTAGAACATATTGTTGGTTAATCGGAAAGACTGTAATAGTGAATGAATGAATTGCGGATTTGGGTTGAATGGACAGTCAGAACCGACCAAATGTAGGATTGTGTGTTTCTCATAGCCAGTCATGCATAAATGGACTAGGAAGCCTAAATTTAACACGCGGAGAGTACAATTTGCTTGTTAGAGCATTAATGGTGATAACCGAATAATATGTGATGAAACAACTATAATAATAGCCAGAGATGCTATTGGAATCCAAATATCAAAAATGGCGAACGTTATTTACTAATGGTATCGAAAATGTCTATATTTGTGTGTTAATGCATTACACATTGACGCAATCCAAAATGGTTATCACATATCGATACTATTATCTGAGAATTGTTTTCAACAATACTAACGGTTGTAGATGATTACTGAAAGCGTATGCCCCATTTTTTTAACACGGGCACACAAACCTTGGACCTCGTTTACAATAATACTAATACATGTATTCCAAAATAAACACTGTGGCAACATGATTTATTGTCTGGAAACACGTTATTTAAAAGATACTGATATATTAGAGGTAAAAGGAATGGCATTAAGTTACAGAAATAGTAAAGTTTACTCAATATCGATAACTAATAAGTTCAAGGATGGTTTAGTTTACATCTAACATATAAGCTCAGGAAACATAAACAGGTTAAGGAGTTGGATGCAAAGTCTGTGGCAAAGGACGTTGTGTACGTATTCATCCTCTTTAATGCAATTAAAAAGGTCATTATTCTTGTCGATTTTTCCGCATGAATGCATCGGCTGATTTATTGTTGATATGAACGAGTATTACAAATGAAAACAAATAAGATAAGCGAACAAGTTATAAACACAGAATAAATGTGTTATAAAAAAATTTTTTTTTTTCAATTGTTTCAATCGATAAACGTTGTTTTACAATAAGTTGTATCGTCGGTCAGCCCGGAAATTATATGATTCCGAATTATATACAACCATTAATATGTGCTATTATATTACTTTGTCAATATATTTTAATTTACTATGCAATACAAACTTTAATATTATAATATTAGATAGATGAGCAAGATAAAGGAGAATACATAACGCTATCAGCCGAAGTCCAGAAGTTTGATAAACAAAATCTAGAACGTATCATTTCAAACATAGGCACGAGATAAGCGTGAAAAAAAAAAGCCATGCTTAGTCAACATGACAAACTACGTATGTATTATTATACAACAACTTGCGTGCACATTAACGGTGTTGAATAGACTACATCAAATTGGTATACGTCATGGCAAAGCACAAACGGCTAACTTAATGAATGCGAAGAGCAGAAAAGAATGACAGATATGTATGTAAATGTTAAAACGATAACAAAATACGCAACCTGTCAAGAGATAATAAAAAAGTCTATAAGATAGTTATTTGTGCAAATTAAGAAAGAAAGGAAAAACAAGAGATACCAATAATAGTACAAAATGTAATGCAAAGTAGTGCGTGTCAGAAAAGTCGTTTGGAAGGGAAAAGGAAGACAAAATGCGGGACAAACAATAAATCGAACTGAATCCTTTATCTCAAAAGACTATTGCCACACGAAAGGTACGTATGTTATAGATCCAAGGATAGTTATGTACCTGCGTATACCTGCCCTTATCTAACATATTCTGGTTATGATGATCGTAGCGAATAGTTGACGCATAGAGTGACAGACAACGAGCATGGACTAGGCAGCATACGTGCCGAGAAGTGCGCATCTCGTATAGCTCGCTCTTTGATTCATGTGGGATTTTGTTGGCAGGTTTGTAACTTTTGTTCAATAAATGTAAAATTCAAAGATTTGCGTTATATTAACTGTATGTTGTTTACGTAATGCATTAGTTGCTGTCTAAAATTCCTCGGTGTTTATGCTCACATTCAGGCGTCTTTGCGAACCCGGCTCGAAAGATTGTAGAAGTTTGATGGAATCGGCAAATAAATTAACAAAAATGGTTTGAGATTAGATTCAAGGCAATCTTTTTGTCGTAGAAATCCTTTTTGTTTTTAGAAAATCAAGCAGCGAGAAGTACGGATAAGCCTTAACTATCTTATGTAAGATTTCAAAATGTTTGTACGAGAGACTACATACCTGCATCAATGAATTCATACGTATCACTATGACTACTAATACCATATACATACTTTTAACTGCAAATTAATCATTTGTTCAGATTGTTTTACAAGGTAAAGACATGAATTGCTGTGGCGATGTTGTTACGAAAGTTTAGACATACTAATACTGAAATCGTTGTTTACTTACTAACTACTTTTCATTGTACGTGTACAATAGATTTCTGACAACTGGTGGCAAGATGTGGGCCGGGAGCAGCATAATATTTATACGTAGTATAAAGCGCCTCTAATCCTAATCTTACTTTAGACGCTATATAAATTGAAGTGAACAAGACAGGTGTGTTGTAATGCAAGCTATAATAGACTGTTTTGTAATTTTTACATGTAGTGTTAAATCATCTTGCATTTAAAGGTAAGTGAGCACATTTGCGTAATTAAATACTTTAAGTCTATAATTCTCTATTTTTATTTTTATTTTTTATATCAGCATACGGAAACGTACATTCAAGCTCCTTGGTAAAGTTGATAATCTAACCAGTTTATTACGTAAAAAGCAGGGAAAGTTGGCACATAGTGGCTCCCTTAAATCGTGCGAGATGTTAGCTTCAGTTCAACAGAATCACATAAATTTCTACTAAGTATATCTGGATTGGTGCTGGCAGAATAACAAAATCTTCGGAGCCACTATGTAATATGAATTTGCACCAGTTGACTTGCAGTTAAGTTTTGAATTTGCTGTCTCCTTATATACTGTAACCTCATGTGAATAAGGACTTATCGTGAATACGAACCATAACTTGGTCCGTATAATTGAAATAGGCCTTTATGCGATTATGTAACCAGCGAATATTTGTATTCGTAGAGGAATAAAACAAGACATCTCGTGAACAAAAGCACCTTATATAGTGAGAGATTACTACACTTGTATTAACAAAATAATTGTCAACTAGAATAATTTGTTCAACGGGTTGTTTATCAATATGATAAACTACGAGAACGTGCTACACGCCGCTCTCCTCTTCTAATCCACTTAACCGTTATGATCAAACCCGTGAGTATGGAAAATTTATTTTTCCCTTTATTAGAGATAATAACATTATATAAAATGTTGGGTCAAGACCTTGGTCGGGTTTATAACCTCTTCCATTTTGCATTCTAACTTTGTGATACATCTCTTGTAGAAATAATACCAATTATGATGATATCAATGCCAGATACTGCCCGAAGCGAACGCCGACGTTTAAACACAAAAATGTATTTATCAATCATTGCAGCTTCCTTTCATATGAAATTACGGAATGTCCATTCTACAAGTCGATCACATTGTGCATGAACATAGATAAGTATTTGATTACGGAAAATGTAATGCATTATCAACTTTGTATAACGTATCCTCTCGTGAATAAGGGCCCACCTTCATCATATGGGGGCTCTTATTCACAAGATGTTTGGTTGCGCCTTAAAAACAATGCAAAATGATCTACGAATCGTCACGTAACAATTGTCCACGTTAACTGTATTATTACATAATTACAAACTATATTTCATATTATAAAGTAATATATACGTCAATTGTTGACGTGATAGGGGGGGGGTGAGGGGCAGCTATTTCATAACATTACGGCGATAGCAATTTTTTCATATGAGGGGCCCTTATTCACGATAGTTTACGGTAATGTATCATCATTGCTAATGTCAGAAACACCTTTTCCTTGAAATATTTAACAAAGACTGATAGTCTTTGGCGCGATAAAGGAATGGTTATGTGAGTACCCGACTGCAGTTTGAATAAGGCTAGTGGCTCTCGTTAAACATTTTGTTTTCAAAGTTAATTGTACAGTCACAATCCAGACGTAAGTGGTACGGTTTCCCCGAGAAAAGAGTTGTAGCGTGGATCCTATACGTACGGTCCAAAAGTGGGAGAAGTTTGAGATACGAAACACGTGTACAATAATCAGTTGAATCGAATGACAAGGACATACAATATTAAATTACGCATGTCAGAAAACGTTAGCAGGCATCAAACTGTTGAGGATCTCAACAAGTCTGTTACTTTTTTCTTAATGACGAGACAAATTTTTAACAAATAATTACATAATCAACTTTTCCGTGTCCAACAGTATCAATTATCTTGCGTTAGTTCGTACACTTACGTGAATAAAAATTTTAGTTATCCATCATACCTGCTTAATTGTTGATTAATTTGGTTATCATATTTGAATTAAACCATAATAATAAAAGTTGTTTAGGCTGCTGACGCAAAATAATAATGCACTGGTACAAAGAATCCAGAGCCTTGGCTGTTTGACACTAAGCAAAATCAATGTTTGTCGAGCAAAGCGATATTGGTTTGATAGGGAAGTCTTTGGGTTTTGCAGGTAAAAGTTAATCTTCTTGTCAGTTAGCTAAAGAGAATAAAGCAATATATTAGAAAAAGTGTTTGCTTGGTATTTTATAATACAAATGCATCAATTGCAAAAACATACTACGCCAGCAAGCGCCTCAATATTCCCTCGGGATAACGACACGCATTTAATAATATTCGATAAGTTAATTTCTAAACAATTACCCACTTGTCTTAGTGCGCTGTTTCACTGGGTAATTAATAGTTTGAGACAAACAGTAATTATTTATTGTATTTGGTTTCAGGAGCAATTACAATTATGTTGTTATTTTAGCGTTGGCATAATGAAAAAATGGTTTACTGACATTCTCATATAGCGTGTCATCCATTGTGATGAACGTAAAATATTATATGGTCTGCAGACTTTAAGTATATACCATTATGTTGGCAAGTTGCGTGTATGAGATATCAATATATTGCAGACAGAAAGACCAGTATACATATTGATATCTTAACATTGAAAGTAACCAGTAAGGCAATATCTTGCTCAGCTGCAGTAAGTGTGGTGGTTTTTTAAACAAGTTTGCTTTCGCGTCCCAACCGCCTATTCATAAACTGGTACTAGACAAGTTATTATTACAATAATAAACGCTTTCTTACATTATTTATGCAACCTTTATGGTTATACCAGATGTAATACTAGTAGATTCAGTGCCTTATAGCTTTGATTACAACCTTAACGATATAGCATATAAAGAAAACAAACACGTTTAAACCCTGCCGATAGGCATCTGTGTTAATAGGCAATGAAAAAGAACGAGTCCAAAAATAACAAATGACGTAATGTAAACATAGCTGTAAGTCGGTTATAAATATCCCCAATTACCGTTATAATGCATTTGTACATGCCTAATAATTAAACAAAATATTGTCGCCAATCTATAGGCTGTAAATGATGTGCATATCCAAACACTGCTATATGACAATGTTGATTATGCGTTGATGGTCTCCCCCAGCCTCCTCAACAATTTACTTATTATACATCGCCATTTACATGCATGATTGTTTTTACCTGGCGAGTCAGATGATGCATTGTTTGCCTGCTTCGTCAGATGTACAAGTCAACGCTGGCTTAAGGCAACTGTGTGATAAATTATGCATTATCTTTTGTTAAAAAAAGGCATATGTGCTATTAGTAAACATAGTTATTAATAGTCTTACTATAAATGCATCAATCTATATTCCTTGTTTGGGACCATTACTTTCCCTAGTCTCCTACTTTCATCGGGGTTTCTCATTGCAAACAAATATTAGTGCAATAAAATAAACCATACTCTACAATTACCATTGAATCTTGAACATGATTAGTCACATTTACTGTACTGCGTATCCAACATCACTTGTCGATTGGCCAACAAAGATCATCGTTTCCGATTTAGTAACAAGTACCTTCCGATTAAAGTAATCTGCCTTGCATATCACTACGAACGCGGTATTTATTACCCTAAGGGTTAAGTTTACCCAAAGCATGTCAAACGCCACGTGAGCATTTAGTCATTAGAGCAACAACAATAAATAGAAACAATAGCATTACATGTTTAATTATTATTCGGATTGACATCCTTTCGAATACATTCCAAATATTGCTGCATGCATCCCACGTTCTTATGTATTTGGTATGATTTATTGTCATTGCTCCGCCTGGTTATCGTTTAGAAAATGCCGCATTGTAATAAGCGAAACAGCGCATAAAGTCAGCAAATACCAATGAAGGAAACGCAAATATTTTATTCCTAATGCGTTGTTTAAGCAAGACAATATATGTCAGGTGGTTAATACAGTTTTATTTGTGCTTGTAATAAACCAGTCTATCAATTAAATGTCTCGTTTAGATTACGAATATATTCAATATCGCAAACTCGTTTTGTATAAAACTACGACTCGACTTAGACCTCCACCTCACCCCAATGTCATACCACGTATTTTCATTTCAGAGTTCTCCAACTTTGTCCTCACAATCTTTACCACAGATTGATTTTACCAAACTCCTTCCTATTGCGGAAGACTTAATAACGAATCCAAATTACCACAATCTTAATCCGTTTTTTCTTTTTTCTACGTCTGTGCACAGACTCTACAAGTGTAAATTACCTTGTCATCCGCATGAAACTGCAAGACTCATAAGCTATTGGTGGCATAGCACCATACCTTTCAACATTAAGTCTCAATTTCACCTCTTAGTTTACTCAGCTAAGGAAGGAAACGTATCAACGTCTACAGTCGAGAAAAGGCTTTCCGAAAGTCAACCGTTTCAGATGGGAAAGCAGTATATTTTTGTTACGGACCCGACCGTAAACTTGGCCGTAAAAAAACAAAAAGAGGATGAGGACAATCGCATGTTTTCTCATTATACATTTCTTTGAAGTACTCGCAGCTTTCTGTTCAACTATTTTTTGTTTTCCAAATTTTCCAAATTTTCGTTTTTAGCTCTCGAATTTTTTGTTTCTCGTTTTATTTATTCCTGCTTTCGTTCACTGAATGACAAGCTTCTATGAAATTATAGGGAGGGGACAATTATGGATAAAAACTTTTCAATAATTAAGCACTTTAAGAACAGTATAGTTAATATTACATACAAATTAAGATATTACCAAATTAAATCTTTCATGGAACCTGATACCACAGTAATAAGCACGTTAGTATGGTTATGATTAATAATAGTAAGCATTGACAATGATCACAATTGGTAGCATCGATACGTGACAAGTAACTTATTGAATGAGCATGTCTAATACAGTTTTATTTCGCCTTGTAATCAGTACGGTAGTAAAAAGTTCATTCATATGTATCATGATAAAGCTGTCAACTTTAATATCAACTAAATAGTGTAAATGTCAGTGACTGGTGAGCTTGCACGCTTGTGCTTCTGCAGTTTGTTCTATCCATCGTATTCAAGAAGTCTACAGCCTAAGGAGAGGATTGAACGTTTAACTTACTGTATGCTTCGAAAAAAGTATTTGAATCGACTGCTAACGAATATGTTTAAACGCTGTAGTTGATAATTTGATCTTTACTGATATAATTTGGAAATAGTTAAGATACTAATGGTAATAATAATGAACTCTCAAAAGTATTTGGATTTGCACTAATACTAATGTAGAAAGTTGGATATGGCTGTGTGTTATGACATCAAACTTATTACTTCGATCGATCAACGAATACCAGGTAATAAGCACAGAATGCAATCAAGAAATGCATGATTGCTATTGTCTACATAAAGATACACGGAGGATAATTTTATAAATATTGTCACGGCTGATGCTGAAACTAACCAATGGGATTGGAGAATAGGATCTGAACAACCAACGAAAGATCATTGTTTCAGCTTCAGCCGGATTTCAGCATCAGCTCCCACAATTAACTAAAGCCTTCTGAATAAATTTGATATCAACACATTGTTTGCTCTATTTATCTGTGCTATTCTTGCAGACCTGGAACCAGAGACTTTCTATTATAATCAAGGTTGCCTTCAACTTTTCCGCATTATTAACAGTACATAGTGAAGCTCGATAAGTCGGACACGACTGGCTGGGCATGGTTATCCGACTTATCAAGGAATCCGACCTATCGAAAGGATTTTGATATGAAAAAAGAAAAGGGCAGAGAGATTTTGTCCGACTTATTGAGTTTCTGACTTATCGAGTTTCACTGTGTATGTGCTTATCGGTATGAGATGCAATCTAACACTTACCATATAGCAGCATAAATATAAATAAATTGTCAATGCTGAAATACTTTGCCAATTTCCGGTTACCGGAAGAATGCGTCTTCTACCAGCAGTGTTTTGCGTAAAGTGCATTATAATTGTTCTGCTTTATATTATATACTCAGTATTATTCTCATTTCGTTCTTCCAGTTATTATAAATTATGGTGTAAAAACAGAATTGATATTGATATGATATAAATACTTCTAAAACTCTTCCCCTTATGTTCGTTTTCGGCGCAATGGCATTATGAATAAGAAAATGGCAGTTTGATACAATCTGGATGTTAAACCATCCGAGCGACTCGTTGAATTCTGCGATCTAATTTATGAGAATGATTAGCTACGTTATAATCTTTCTGGTAATAATTTATTGCTCTAGACTACGATCAGAAATACACAAAATACACGGAATCTGCATTTATATTGTACCTTGTCATACCCTTCTCCTGTGCGGTTCACCATACATATAACTAAATGTTGGGTTCACGGACCAACAAAATTAAAGTCATCAAGTAATAAAAACAGTTGGATTGTAAAACTACTTCTCAGAGATGGAAACTGCAAACTTGTGATTATAGCAGACTCCGCTTGAGGGGATAGCGCTAGGCCTCCTCCGATATTCTGAAAGAGGCGTTTCACCCGAGCGCATGTAGACGAGAATTTTTCTTTACGTATTGCCTATATAAGCAACTGTTAATGGAAAGAGAAGCGTTGATAATAATTTGATCGACAAAATTATTTGAATTCACAAATCTTGAATGTCCCATTTGAGAGTAATGAAGTCCAATTCGTACTAGAAAGATCCGTACCACAAAAAAAGAGTAGACAGTCTACTGGAGAGGCAACAATATATCTTGGTTATCTATTCGCGCTTATAGTCAACGTGTCTCTATACCAAGTATATGTTAGGCATCCACAAATCATGCCATAGATAATCTACTTTTGTGAAATTATTACCTCATGCTCCGTAATTAAATAAATAGAAACGCGCAAAAGTGTCTGAAGAAAAGCTTATTTTATCTGCCGATGAGTCTTGGTTCACATACTGTATAGAGCCAATAATCAGCGTATAAGAGACTCTGCGATCGGTAATAGCCCTAGCACAAAAAGAATTGACTTGTGAGCGAGGCATTAAAAAAACTTTTCTTTTGGCAGATAAGATTTTCGTTTAGTCTTGTTATTCTTGATAAAAATGGTAGTGATATGGACGACCGTCAGTCGAGAGTGTCTTGAATGGATATAAAAATGCATCACATTATATTCAACAACAAGAAAACTCATCAAATTATCAATAAAGCAGTTCGAAAGTAGACAAAAAAAGTTACCTGATACCAAATAATTACTAAAGCCTCTTTGCTATTCAACTATTACCATTATCAATCGAATATCAATACCAATAACGTCACTTGCATCCAGCCAACATCAAATTTATTTTAAATAAACCGACTTTTTATCGTGGTAAAAAAACGACCCGCAAAAAGCTAGTATTAGGTTAAGGACAAGATATTGTACAGTTATTGATAGATAGAAGCTATTCACGCCTAAAAATTCTTATTGTCAGTCGAGCTTTGTAAAAATTACATAGTCGAACATTCAAACTTATTTATGACACAAGATAAAGGTGTAATTACCCCCACTTATCTGTTAAGCAATAAGGAAACGTAGCCTCTGGGAACGATGAAAAGCGTTAGGGCCAATTCCCGGAATAAAATTGTCTTTGAGAAATGCAATGAAGGCGCCGACATGAAGGGGTTGATATAGCAGAGAGCAATAAGGCTGAAGTTGTCAAAGTATACGAAGCTGTGATGAACAAAACAGATAATGACTTGCCGAATATCTTCATAATAAAAACAGTTTTTGGGCAACAGATTACCTCTCACCGTTGTTAACAAAGTTCAATAAAGCAATGGTTGTAGTTATAACAATGTGATAAAACTTTTACTAATAGAGGTTAAAGCAGTATAGTTAATATGATAACTTCAAACGCGATCGTATAATTGCATTAGTGACAAAGAGTGAAGCTCAACATTTTCCTGCAAACCTAATCAAACTATAAAGCTCCTGGTTAAAGTCTGTTCTTTTTCTCTCTTTCTTTCTTTCTTTCTTTTTTTTGCGCCATTCCTACTTGTTTAACCGTTATTATTATTTCTATCGATCAGAATGTGTTGATGTACTGGCGTAACAGAAAAAAAAAGCAAACCAACAATATATAATGCATACTATATGGTTTATTTTAAGAAGCTAACGGAAAATAATAACAACTTTATTTAGACTACTAATCTTATGGGCGTTTTTTGTTGGCTTTAGAATATGGCAAAAAAAAAGTCTGTGAAAAATTATCTTATAGTAGCATGCAAATTGGCGTGTTATACTGATTACTTCTTAGGACAATGAGACAATACTATAAACGAGATGGAATTCTTAAAAATGCACCATTCTTTTTTTGGCAATTTACAAAGGCGTGAGTGACCACTAATTGTATCATTATCCCAATGCAAGCATTTTGGAGCACAGTTGCTGCACAAAATTTTGGTATTTAAACTCTTTATATTAAATATACAAATTTGTTGGTATTACATTAAACCAACTGGCAAAAGCAATGCTTCCATGCTCAATTGTTGCCGTTCACACAGTGCTGTACGGTCAAATTAAATTAACAGCAATGAACTATATACTACACAGCAGGCACTTGTTGAAATCGTATTATGCTATTTCACTCCATTTTACAAACTTCGCTGTTTAACAGTGTTGTTATTGATTCTTAATTTAGTACTTCTCCGTGGCTTTGTATGCATCGACTATGCATTGTGACGTTATTATTATACCCATTAGCTTTTTTATAAAAAAATTTTTTTTTATTTTTTTTAGAACTTTATAACAATAAACTGTTGTGTATGGAAACACAATTTATCAACGGTTTAAGTTTTTTTTTGTGCTTGTCCCAAAATCTCAAAACTATTTGACCCCTTAAGGAGGGTCGAGCGTTACACACGTAAGTCTAATGTCTCTTGTCCAAAAAACGCATATTGGTTTGGCTTTATGTTTTCAATGTCCTCAACTGTTTTAACAATCTGGGTGTGTTTGAAGAACCATCAAAATAGTGCAAAATGAATATAATATATGATTGAAACACACATTTCATTGCCAATCCTTTTATGGCGGCCGTCAAGTAGTATAACGTATTAATCGATTATTACTGTATTTTTAATTATTCTGTGTATCAGCATATCATATCAGTTTAATTTAAAGTTAACAATTAGAGAAATTTCAAGTTTGTTAAAGAGAAAATTTGCAAATTTGATGCGTTGAATTAAATGGTTACGTCACGCTAAATTCTAACTTTATTGATAACAACATAACACTTTTTAAAGCAAATGCTAGTGCTAGTTTCTTGAAGTGTAAATAATTTACAACACTGGATAAAGTAATACTATCAAAAAATGCAATATTTTCGTACAGATTTCTATTAATATTAATGGTTTTGTTGAATATCAACAATTGGGACTACTTGTTTCGACTCTATTGGATGGTTTGTATATTGCGTGTTGATCTAAATTGGCAAAGTCATCAGCCATTGCTAATGCGTAGCGTTAAAATGCTTAGTCAATAGAAGAAGGACAATCCAACCAGAAACAATGTTATATTATATTGTTATA